GGTTAAGAAATCCCCTACCCTTCACCTGTACCAATCCAAATCCTCCTTTACTAGTGAAATCACCAACCACCAATGAAAAGTGTACTCGTATCCGACCCTACCCCTCTTGCTTTCTGTACCCCATAAAAACTGCCTTCACCCCGAGTTCGGGGCTCATCCTCCGCTTGCATGCCAGGAGAGTCCAGGCCCGGGGTCCCCGGGCCCCCTGGGCCTCCCGGGTCTGTAATAAATCTCACCTTATGCCTCTTACATCGGAGCGTGTCTGGAGTTTGTCGATTGGAGTTACTTCGGGAGGCTTTTTCTGACCCAACATCACCCTTGGTAGAGTGCCATGGTGTCACAACTCACAGCAACTGCCAGTTCCTGGGCTTAGGTGATTCTCTTGCCTCAGCTTCCCAAGTAGATGGGACTGCAGGTGCCCACCACAATGCTTGGCTGTTTTTTGTTGTAATGAGAGATGATACCCAAGAAGAGTGAGGTCTAGGAGAACAGGTCTTCTCAAGGAGACCACAAGGATACATCTGCAGGGTCCTCTCCATGGTGACTCAGCTCTTGATGAGGCAAGAAAAGTAAAAAGCAGAGTTAAAAAGAATCTGTCCTAGCCACCCTATGTAGGCCTCAGCCAAGCCGCGGGTGTTTCTGCTGTCTGTGTGTTTCTCCCCTGACATACTCGGGGACTGGATTGTAATCTAGCAACTTCTCTGGGCTTCCATTGCCTTTGAGGGCAGGCAGCCCGACCGGTCTCAAGGACGCAGGCGAATCTGACCTTCCCCTTGAGCCTGGGACCTTGAGGATGATGTCATGTCTCTCTCTGTTTTATGACCCTCATGTGCACTCTTGCCCTGAAAAGTGGATAAAAGAGAGGCAAGAGATTGAGTCAGGGGACTCGGTTTTGGGAAACATGCTGGTGTTCCGAGTACCCCCGGCCAAATAAACCTGCTTTCTCTAATCAACTGGTGCCTGGAGTCTTCTGTCTGCGTCAGTTTCCTGCTACATTGGGAATTTGTAAACTTAACTTGGAATTTCCACTTCTTTGAAATTCTGTAGTTCTGTGGGGGCTGGAATAGCATCTCCCACTTGATTCAAACTGGCCAATGAGAAGGGTGCCTATGGGTTGGAATTTTTTGACCATCAATAAAGGGGGAAAGACCAAGCTAGTCGGGGAGCATAGCCATTTGGACTTTTTCTATGCCATAAGCTCCCAGCCAGCAAATAAAGCCCTTCCTCTTATAAATATGGTGTTTGGGTGCTCTTTCCCTCCATTGGGCCTGAACTTCCTGCAACATTTTTGGTTCCCTGACTGGGAAGTGAGATTACCCTTGGAGAGAACATGTATCTGGTAGTTGCTGCCAGTCCTCTGGACAACCATGGCAGGGGTGGGCTGACTGACCTGGGTGACATGAACCACTAAGCATGCCAGGGAGGCAGTTTCACCTCCCTGTGTGGATGCCTTGGCTGGGTGGAGGAAGGACACCATCAGTGGATCTTCAAGGAGTCAAACACTGGGAGGAACTGGCATGCAGGAACAGGTACCTATACAGGGAGACATCTAAGGGAAGGTATGATTGATCTGGGGGGACCCACTACAGTTTTAGTGGAAGATGGAGCCTGATGAACTCCTTTGGCATTAGATTGCTGGCAGGTCTGTTGAGAGGTATATGAGAGTGTGTGAATGTGGTGTGACTGAGAGAACT